TATGTAATATTTGTGTTAGATTGCAGGAGTGTGTTTGTATGTTGTGCTGGTGTTTGACTAATTGGATGTATGCACATACACTACCACACACATACATACATACATACATACATACATACATACATACGTACACAGATATTCATGCACATTAACACACAGATGCATATAAATACACTGACACATACACACAAATTCATATAGACATGACACATACACACATATACACACGACACACACACACACACACATAGATACACACTGACATGCATACATGCCCACACGATGACACAGATACACACACTAACATAAAAACACACACCCTGACACACAGAGGCACATACACAGATGTGTGTGCACACACAGAAGCACACTGACATATATATATATGTATATATATATATACACACACACACACACTCATACTCACACTAATATACACACTTACACTAATACACATACTTACACACACACACACACACACACACACACACACTCAAACTCATAAAACACTCACACGCAAGTGATTTTTTTTTATACCTCCAGCCACCCTCCTGTTAGCTTACCTTGTGTGTCCAGGAGGGTGGCTTGGAGTCCTGGTCCTGCTGGGGGGAGTGAAGGGGTCTGGAGCTCTTCGTGCTCCTCTCCCCCCACGCTGCGGCTGCCTCCTCTCCCTCCCGCGCCGTCTCTTTGCATGACGCTGGGAGGAAGTGACAGGCTGTTACCTTCTCACAGCCGGCCGACATTACAGGGGCCCGGTTGTGGTCTTGAAGGACCGCAGCACTCGACCAGGTTTCTGTTGAGCAGTAATGTTTCCCTGGGGCTATAATCATAGCATCGGGGAATCATTCCGTGGCACCCCTGTGTACAAGTCGCGGCGTCCCAGTGTGCCACGGCACACAGTTTGGGAATCGCTGATGTAACCAAAGGCACACAATACTGACAATCCTATATATTTTAATGTACAAGTTAAAGTGTAACATGATTTGTTGTTTTTGAATGTTTTTTTTATTTAGTTCTTGAACTTAAACATACCATACTAATTACTGGACAAAGTTTACTGATTAGAGGCAAATGCTGGTAATCCCCCACCCCTAACTACGTTACAAATATATATCATGCTGTGCAACACTACACAAATCTTGTTAGTGAACTTTGCCATCCATCACAGGTTCTCTGTTATGACAGACCAACATATTATCCAAGTCCATGATTAGATTAGACGAGCCTTCTGAACATGTCTATTAGGGGAACTCTACAAGCCAAATTGGTATTTCTGGGATCTATAAAAAGTATTTTTTTTTCTTACATTTGTTTATTGCTACATGTTAAAGTATCTGGTCATGGAGTTATCCTCTGATGGTAGAATACTAGTGGTTACTGTAACTATTGCCTATTTAATTACATAGGTATTGATTTTATATTATCAGCAACAATTATTGTCTTTTTTCGTCTGCTAATTTTAATAAAATTTGAGTAAACATGATGCCAGCTAAAATTAATCGATAAATTGATCAGCTACTTCCTAAAATCCTCTGATAAATGTACTTAGGAGGCACATTTATTGTCTTTTTTAATGATGTGCATGTTAGTCTTTAAAAAATAAAGAAAAGCAAGGAAGGAGTGGCTGCTCATTGTAATAAAATACTAGTGACTGGGCAGCTAATGCTCGGTTGCTTTTAACATATAGGGGACAATGGGCATCGAATAGGGGCTTCAAATAATAGAACAGGGGGTGGAGAGGTCATTGTCCCGTTCCCCTCACCCATGGCCAGCAGGTGGTGACTCCTCTAAAGTAAAAAGTGAGGGGGGGTACATCCTACAACCCCCCCTCCATTTTCATAATGTGGACAGTTAAATAAAAAATGCATAGGTGAGCCTTCCGATTGACCCACCCATGATCAGCACATGGTGTATATAGCTAAATTGAATGGCGGTATAGTGTTCCCCTGGTTGGGGGCTACAATAATAATAAAGTGTGCAAGACTTCCTATCCCCCATGGTGCCCACCTGTGGTCAGCAGGTATAGGCTAGAGCAGTGATGGCGAATCTTTTTGAGCCCGAGTGCCCAAACCGTAATACATGCTAATTTTTTTTCCCTCAAACTGCCAAAACGGCAATTAAACCTGAATACTGAGGTTTAAGTTTAGAAAAAACAACTCATACAGTTGTCCGAACTAATATAACATCTCTGTGTGTGTATTAAGCAGTTTGTGTGTGTGCTTGGCAGTCTGTCTGTATGTGTATTTAGCAGTCTGTCTGTGTACTTAGCAGTCTGTCTGTATTTGGCAGACTGCTGAATACACACACAGACTGCTGAGAACACAGTCTGCTGAATACACACACAGACTGCTAAATAAACACACACACACACACACACACACACACACAGACTGCTAAATACACACACACACAGACTGCTGAGTACACACACACACAGACTGCTGAGTGTACACACACACAGACTGCTGAGTGTACACACACACAGACAGACTGCTGAGTGTACACACACACACACAGACTGCTGAGTGTACACACAGACAGACTGCTGAGTGTACACACACAGACAGACTGCTGAGTGTACACACACAGACAGACTGCTGAGTGTACACACACAGACTGCTGAGTGTACACACACTGCATTGAGGGGTACAGTGTATGTGTTTGTGTGTGGGGTGGTGTGTGTGTGTCTTTGTGTGGGGTGATGTGTGTAGGGCAGGGGTGCTGTGTGTATGTCGTCCCCCCTCTCCCCACCCCCACTGTTTTCTTTCCCCCCATCCCTCCCTCATTTTTTTCTCCCATCCCACACTCAGTTTCTCCCCCCATCTCTCCCTCAGTTTCCCCCCTCCATACCTCCCTCAGTTTTCTCCCCGCATCTCTCCCTCAGTTCCCCCTTCCATACCTCCCTCAGTTTTCTCCCCCCCATACCTCCCTCAGTTTTCTCTCAACCCCCCCCCTCCATACCTCCCTCAGTTTTCTCCCCCTCCCCTTGATCTCCTACCTTGTAGCGTGGCCGAGCGCACCGCGGAGCTCAGTATCCTGTACCCGGCGGACAGGAAGTGCTCTCTCTGTGAGCACTTCATTTCCGTCCGCCCGGGTACAGGAAACATAAGTTCCTGTACCGCAGTGCACTCTGCCACGCTACACAGAGTGCCTGGCAGTAGGGAGCGCTATGCGCTCACCTCCTGCCGGTCACTCCGGTTTTGCGCCCGCCGGGCCGGTGCGCCCTAAGGCGGCCACTTGTGCCGCCTTATGGATGCGCCGGCGGAGGGCACCCTCCCTCCGGCGACCTATGGCCGCGTGCCCACAGAGGGGGCTCGGCGTGCCATAGGTTCGCCATCACTGGGCTAGAGGAAGAATAATTAAGTATAGAGGGCCTATTTCCCCCCAACCCACACACATGGGCGGTGGCTGGAGACAATGAAAATGTCCTTTTGAGCACCCACTCATGAGCAGCGGGTCGAGGCCTCTTATGAAATATACAAAGATACAAGGTGATGATAGACATGCCATTGAATACCTACCCAAATTGTTCTTGCATTCCCACACTATTGGCTAGAGGTCTTAAAGCCCTTAGGCACTCCTCACCCCAATAATAAAAGCCTATGTACCAACCTCACCCCTGTGAAGATGTTGAAAATGCCAATAAGTTATAGGCTAATCTTTTTTCAATGTTTGCTCCCAGGTTTGGCACCTAAGAAGGCTCTTGATGCAAAATCTTATACATCAATTTTGTATGCCAATGGACCAGGATTTAACTTGACAGGAAATGGGCGCCCTGATGTGGATAACATTACTAGTGGTAAAATGACTAAATTCTCAGTTCTATTTAAATTTTTATAGGATTTCTGTAAAACCTGTATTCTAAATCTGTGCATGTGTAAACTATTGTAAACATAAAGTTACCCACATCCTACTCACGGGACATCTGCAAGGGATTTCCAACAGTACCTATTGCTCTCCCAGCATCCCCTGTAATCTGTTATGACATTCTATGATTTAGGGATAGGTCACAGAGGGTGCTGTGAGATAGGCACAAGTGTGAAAACACATTAATCAGTATTTATGAACCATATGTCACAAAACAATTGTAATGTTAAATGCAAAGGGGTCCCGTGTAGTAAGCATGCACAAGGAGTGGCTAGATTAATGTGTTCTTTGCTACTCCAGCTAGTATGAAATATCTAAAAAGATCTTGTGTAAGCCTTTGGTTTCCATCTAGGCAACTGTAGCACTTGATGAATGATTGTTTGTATTGTAGTGGCCCTGTTTGCTCGGCTGTGGAGCCATACATGTTGGGCTATTTGTCACTGTTCTTTACTCTGTCTCTTTTCAGATAGTTCTAACTACAGGCAGCAAGCAGCAGTTCCCTTGGATTCAGAGACACATGGAGGAGAAGATGTGGCCATAATGGCCAAGGGTCCAATGGCACATCTCTTCCATGGGGTGCAGGAACAAACATATATCTCACATGTCATGGCATATGCAGCTTGTCTCCCTCCTTACACAACCTGCCACTTTGAACAACCCAATTTAAAGGACGTTGGCTCCATGCCTGTAGGCAGTGCCATCCTGTCTTCAATTTGTGTAGCTTTAATGTTATTCCCTTATCATTGTAATGTGTGATTAATATTCCATACAGTACATGTAAAGAAACAGCAACATTGGTATATGTTCAACATTGGTGTCATTTTGTACATACGTCTTAATAAATTATGCACTGCTTCACTGCTTCATATATATTACACACAGTATGCAACGAGTGACACTACTTGGAATGCCCTGGAGCTTAGCCTCTGGATAGAAATATACAAAATTACTTCAAAATAGCCAGGACTCATGGTGGAACAAAACATAGCTTCTTATGTATTAAATACATTTCCTATTTGTTTGCATAGAACCAGTAGCGTACACACAATCCATGGGGCCCAGGTGTGAAATGGATCCGAGAGCCCCCACCCACAATCTGTGCCACCCCAGACACATACATACAGACACACACACATACACACAGACACACAGACACATACATACATACACACAGACAGACACACACACAGATAGACAGATACATACAGACAGACATACACATACACCCCCCGACAGACACACAGACACATACATACAGACACACATGCATACAGACAAACACATACACACAGACAGACACACACACCACTGAACGACATACACACACATACAGACACACACACATACAGACACATACATACAGAGACACACACATACATACAGTCTGTATGTGTGTGTATGTGGGTGTGTCTCTGTATGTATGTGTCTGTATGTGTGTGTGTCTCTGTATGTACAGTTGCAAGAAAAATATGTGAACCCTTTGGAATGATATGGATTTCTGCACAAATTGGTCATAAAATGTGATCTGATCATCATCTAAGTCACAACAATAGAGAATCACAGTCTGCTTAAACTAATAACACACAAAGAATGAAATGCTGCCTTGTTTTTATTGTAAACATTCACAGTGCAGGTGGAAAAAGTATGTGAACCCTTGGATTTAATAACTGGTTGAACCTCCTTTGGCAGCAATAACTTCAACCAAACGTTTCCTGTAGTTGCAGATCAGACGTGCACAACGGTCAGGAGTAATTCTTGACCATTCCTCTTTACAGAACTGTTTCAGTTCAGCAATATTCTTGGGATGTCTGGTGTGAATCGCTTTCTTGAGGTCATGCCACAGCATCTCAATCGGGTTGAGGTCAGGACTCTGACTGGGCCACTTCAGAAGGTGTATTTTCTTCTGTTTAAGCCATTCTGTTGATGATTTACTTCTATGCTTTGGGTCATTGTCCTGTTGCAACACCCATCTTCTGTTGAGCTTCAGCTGGTAGACAGATGGCCTTAAGTTCTCCTGCAAAATGTCTTGATAAACTTGGGAATTCATTTTTCCTTCGATGATAGCAATCCGTCCAGGCCCTGACACAGCAAAGCAGCCCCAAACCATGATGCCCCCACCACCATACTTCACAGTTGGGATGAGGTTTTGATGTTGGTGTGCTGTGCCTTTTTTTCGCCACACATAGTGTTGTGTGTTTCTTCCAAACAACTCAACTTTGGTTTCATCTGTCCACAGAATATTTTGCCAGTACTGCTGTGGAACATCCAGGTGCTCTTGTGCAAACTGTAAACGTGCAGCAATGTTTTGTTTGGGCAGCAGTGGCCTCCTCTGTGGTATCCTCCCATGAATCCATTCTTGTTTAGTGTTTTACGTATTGTAGATTCTCTAACAGGGATGTTACAAAAGTCACTGGCAAATGCTAAGTCTTTAGCTGACACTCTAGGATTCTTCTTCACCTCATTGAGCAGTCTGTGCTGTGCTCTTGCAGTCATCTTTACAGGACGGCCACTCCCAGGGAGAGTAGCAGCAGTGCTGAACTTTCTCCATTTATAGACAATTTGTCTTACCGTGGACTGATGAACAGCAAGGCTTTTGGAGATACTTTTATAACCCTTTCCAGCTTTATGCAAGTCAACAATTCTTAATCGTAGGTCTTCTGAGAGCTCTTTTGTGCGAGGCATCATTCACATCAGGCAATGCTTCTTGTGAAAAGCAAACCCAGAACTGGTGTGTGTTTTTTATAGGGCAGGGCAGCTGTAACCAACACCTCCAATCTCATCTCATTGATTGGACTCCAGTTGGCTGACATCTCACTCCAATTAGCTCTCGGAGATGGCAGTCTAGGGGTTCACATACTTTTCCCACCTGCACTGTTAATGTTTACATGGTGTGTTCAATGAAAACATGGCAACATTTCATTCTTTGTGTGTTATTAGTTTAAGCAGACTGTGATTCTCTATTGTTGTGACTTAGATGATGATCAGATCACATTTTATGACCAATTTGTGCAGAAATCCATATCATTCCAAAGGGTTCACATACTTTTTCTTGCAATTGTATGTGTCTGCATGATACAGGCACATACATACAGAGTCACACACACATACAGACACATACATACAGAGACATACACACACATAAAGACACATACATACAGAGACACACACACATATATACACACACATACACAACATATTTTAGTCACCCTCCTGTTTCCTACCTTTTAGGTGCAGGTGGGTGACATTCCCTGGGGTCCAGTGGTGGCTCAGGCTGGTGGGAGTCAGAGTTCCCACTCTGACTCCCTCCTCCTTCCTCCCGCGCAGCTCTCTGATAGCTAGGAGGAGTGACTGGGGCAGTCACTTCCTCCCAGCTCTGTTTAATGTCATCACAGGGGGCCGGTCTTGCTGTTAAAATCCATATCCATCGGGTGGCCCATGTTGTTATGGCCATTCGTGTGCGGCCCGGCGGTTTGCTGCGCCGCAAAACATGGTGGCGGGTACACGGTCGCAGGGGTCAGCTGGGTGGCTGGCCCCCTGGAGTGACGGGCCAGGTCGCAGCTGTGACCCCTGGGACCGCGGTATGTATGCCAGTGCATAGAACACATTTTACTGCTGGGTATATTGTGATTTTATATATTTCTAGCCAGAGGTTAAGCACCAGGACAGGTATATAACAAACATAGGAACACATGTTTCTTGAGGACAGCCAAATTGCTTTTTTCACTGACTACCTATGAGATGAAATGATTAATGTAATTGATTGCTTTTTATAAACAAGTTACAAATAAATGTTTTAGTCTTATGTAAATGTTATTTCTTATATGTTACTAATGTATTTTTGAGAACCATTTGGACCAACTATAAAGCAGTCCATTCCTTACTTCCTAGTAATTGTGAGAGTGCAATATGAAAATATATGAGCCAGCCTTCTCTGTGAGCCATTTTATTGCTTCAGAAGATCAATGAACACTTTCATTTTGGGCTCACCTTTGAAACAGCCTGCACTCAGACGTCCAACCAACAGCAGTGCTACCCAACTTGTGGGAAGCGCTTCCCAACAACTGTGGCGCCAATAATATAAAATGCTTCATATTTCTTTTAATTCACAACCACTGCTGCCATCTACTGAGCATAGATAATTTAAAGTTAGACAGCCACCATCTAAGAGAGAGGCATCACAAACAAGTGTGATATTATGTACACAGATACGTCTATATTTGTCAATTTAATTTTGTTCTTTCGTTGGAACTCTGCTACTCAGTCATCTCAGTGATTAGCCATAACTATCCCAGTCTTCAATTCCCATGGTGTTCATCCAGCAATGACTAACTGTTAATCATGGGAGCTGCAGACAACCACAACAAGTTAGTGTGTTGTGCAGTGGCAATAAGCCCAGTCTATGACAGTGAGGAATTTTCTTTGGCAGGAATTTCCACTTGCAATGGTCTTTTGTATCAATTTGCAGCTCTCTCTATATCTCCTTGTCTCCAAACTAGCTGGTGAGGAGCCCCAATGAGACAAGGCAATGCAAGGTTCAAAGTGACTTCTGACATTTAGTGGGCTGTGTAACAGGTTATATTCAGCAGGAAACAGGGGTGGTCTTTACAAGCATTATCCAATCCTAATAAAATCATCTATCTTATCTTAACATCTTAACCTGTAGCAAGCTTGCAGGTGTATCTTCATGTTCGAACTTTGCACAAAAGCTAAGTTTCACTATAACTACGCACTTAGAATTAATATGCATACGCACTTAGAATTAAAGATATTAACTACGCAGTTCTAAATTACACATTATTATGCAGTTATGATCAAAGGGAGAAACACAGGAAATAAGGCCAACAGCAGAAACACACAGGATATAACACTAACACTTGTTACATGATGTTCTACAGCTCTTGTCTAGGGGTATATTCACTAAGCATTGTATATAGACAAAGTATATTATTTCAAATAGCTGACATGCTCCAAGTTAGCTGTAATGGCCACCCTGTGTGTCAGAGGGGTGTATGCCATTGGAGACTTCCTTTTCCCTTGCAAGAGGCTGTGCTGCAGTATGCTCCAGATATCCCATCAGCCGGACCAGTAGAGAGAGAGAATAGCAGAGAGCAGAGCTCTTAGAAGAGCTAGTGATTAGCTGAATGCAGTTTCCCTACAAACACGAGACGAGGCTACGTATTGAGGGTTAAGCAGATCTGAGAGTTTAATGTGCCAGGCTGGCCTTTTATGCCACTTTTCCCACAAGGTTACCACCCATGTGGACCTTGCGGGGCACCAAAAAATACATTCAAGAGCCAATAGTGTACAGTCACAAAGTTAAACACTCCCATTCATTACAGTAAATCCCTCCTTTCTGCTTGGGAGATAATTTAGTTAATTACTGTATCAACTCAATTATCTCCAAGCGAAAGAAATTAACTTTTTACACATTTTTAGAACTATTATAATCACACATACAAATCCCATAAAAATGATATATTTTGATACGGCATAATTATATATATATATATTAAAAAATCATGCGAATCGGTTTAGGGGTTTGGGAGATAGATGGAAGTCCCATTTCTGCCCAGCAGCACACGAGGCTCCTGCCCAAAATAGTTCCATGCATTCAGTTGGTGCGTCCGGTCCCTTTTCGTATGTTTAAAAATACCGAACAACCATTCACATCAGTGTTCGTCAATTTGATGGTCGTGTGCCGCCTCGTTCGTATAATGCTATTGTATTATTCTCAACAGTCTATAACTACTTTTCCCATGAAGTTCAGCTTGCAGTATGGCTGGCTGAATATTATTGTAGATGCACTCAACAAAAGTTAGTGTTCTACTGTGGACTTAGTATCGTGCCCCCACTCCTCGGACAGCCCCATCAACAGTAAGCTACTATTCCTAGAATGATCAACTATCAATATTGCTTACTCATGGTATTTTCACTCAACACATTAATGTTGTGTGGTTAGTATAGCTCTGTGATGCCCTGCAAACATTTCGAGGTATTACAAAATACATGGTCGTTAAAGATAGTAAAAAAGGACATAAAGGCTTGGATTCAAATAGGAAAACTGGTAGTTATGCAGCACTCATGGCTAACCTTTGGTAATCCAGATGCTGTTATTGGAATTCTCCAAGGGAAACTGGCCAATAGGGTAAAAGATAGACAATGTTAATGGCCAATAGAGTAAAGGATGAACAATATGTTGTGCTCGGTGGCCCTTGGCTAGATGGAGAGGAAGAGAGCCACTCTGGCTGCCAGGTGGTGCATGGAATAAAAAAAAATAAAAAAATTGCTGCACTTGACTGCCTTTCAGGTGTATTTTCTACTCTCTATATCTAATTGACCTAACCCAAACAGCCTACCGCTTCTCCTTATCTAGCTGCTGCTCCAATGATCCTGATTGAATTTCAAGGAAGGGGAGGGGACAGGACCCCTCTTTCCCCAACTTGTGAACGCACACGTTTGAGCATCACTGGCTATTTTGGATTGTTTTAGTATTGACTATTTTGTCATGTTATATTTATCTTTTTCATTGAAAATCAGTAAGCAGGTTAAAGTGTTTGACTTTTTAAAAAGAAAACATGTTGATGACGATTAAAGATGTGAACCCAGGCCGAATGGTGATAAAGTTGAGATTGACGCAACTGGAAAAAATGTAGGAAATCTCTGTTCTGCAAGTACAACTTAGAAAACATTAAGTATGGTTTCACAAATATTGAAGATTCAAACGTTCAACTACCTCAATGTATATGTGCTGAAATCCTAAGCAAGAAAGCTAAGAAGCCGGCCAAATTGCTCCATCATTTTGGCTCTAAACATATGGATTTTGTAGGAAGGCCTGTTGATTTAAAAAAAAACAAAAAAACTAAAACAGGTTGAAGTCAGCAACAAAACTTCAGGATTCATATTCAACCCATAATTAAAACTGCCTCAAAAGCATATTTTATTATTTCATTAGGAATTGATCTCAAGTAAACTTCTCCAAACAGCTACCAAAATTGATTGGGCGTATTTAAATCATTATTCCAAGCATCAAAACCACTACTGCAGGTTATAATGGTTGTAATTCCAGGAGTACATTGACCTGTTCACCTTGAACACAGTAAAGGAGTTTAAGCATGCGTGGGATAGGCATAAGGCTATCCTAGCTATAAGATAAGGCCAGGGAATAATGAAAGTATTAAAAAAAATAATTGGGCAGACTAGATGGGCCGAATGGCTCTTATCTGCCGTCAATTTCTATGTTTCTATTTTGATGAGGCAAACTGTATATAATTGTGTTTTGGAAATGCATTGAGTCAATGAGTTCATGCAAAAAAAATGAATGAATAACAAATAATTTTGTGCTGCTGCGAGGTAGCTGATGTGAGATAGTTCAGCACACACAAAATTGCTGTAAATTTAACACAAAGCAATTTAAGTTAAATTTTAAATTGAAGGTCAAAATAGTCAAACTTGGCGAAATTCTCAAAGTCGGCTATACTTTCAGCTCAAAAACGGTGCCCTATAAATTCAAAATTACTTTGAATTCTCACTTTAGTAAGTAACCTTGACACTGATGTGTTAACATATGCAATCTGCTTTGAGAATACATGCAAATTAAACGTGGATAAAAGCTCCCTCTCGTGGTCAATAGAAAGAGCTACAAATATTAATTCTAGGAGCAAGGAGCTCTGCAATGCATATCATCAAATCATAGTAAAACAATACTAAGGTGCACAAATACATAAGGGCATCACTCACACCTGCTTCACAATTCGGGATTTTCTTTTATTAGCTTGCCAACAGCTTTTTTAGGGTAATATAAAACAAGATCAATGCAGGAAGGAGGAAGTTCTCGTCGACACCTTAACCTAAAGTACAAAATGATCTATAGAGATCTAAAACCCAAATTTCTCATCTTAGGAAAAAAAAATGATTAATAAACTTTTCTAGGCTTCCTTTCATTGTGTGGAAACAACCCCCTTATGACCCCGAAGTCCTGTTTCCCCCCCCCCCCCACCACCACTATCCTCACTATTAAAGGGACACTGTAGGCACCCAGGCCACTTCAGCTCATTGAAGTGGTCTGGGTGCAATGTCCCATGTCCCTTAGCCCTACAGTGGTAATTATTGCAGTTTCTCAGAAACTGCAATAATTACCACTGTAGGGCTAAGGGACATGGGACATTGATTCATTACCTCTGAGGGTTAACTTCTCCTCTAGTAGCTGTCTACCAGAGAGCCACTAGAGGGACTTCTGGAATTGAAACTGACCTTTGGTCCATTATCTGGCGCTGGACATCCTCACACTCTGCATGAGGACCTCCAGCGCCAGATTTTTC